CTCCTCCTCTCCCCACACGGGCTCCAAGCTCACTCCTCCTGTTCCCCCCCACACTGCCAGGTCAGCCTGAGCCTGCCGCTCCCACCACCACAGCTCCCACCACCACAGCAGGCTAGCTTCTCCCCACCCCCCTGCATCGGCCCTAGGCCCACTCCTCCCCTCCCCCCACAGGCCCGGACCCCAAGCAGCAGGAAGTAAAGGTGGAATGGGCCCAGACATGGTGGGGGCATGGGGGCTGCATCCCTGCCCACTCCCCCCACCCCCATCATCCTTGACAGGCAATTGGCTAGTATTTTAATAATAGCAGTGGAGTGGCTAATTGGTCAGCGTGTGGTCAGTGTTGCTACCGTTAATGTCAGTGTCAGCCCTCTTCCTTATGGACTGAGCATGCTCCTACCTGGTGGCTGTAGGCAGCTATGAGCAGCAGTATTTTGCAGATAAAGCAGTACACAGCTGAAGAAGTCTGAAAACCATTGCTTTAGAAATTCACATACAATCCCTGCCCACCACATACCACACAGGCCTTACTGGAGATAAAAAGAAGACAAAACAAAAATAATAAATAGTACTAACAAACCAAAGCGCAAAGATTACCGTATCTTACATTTCAGATCCTTCATCCTGAAAATTCTGGATGGGATCACTTGCTTAAGTTGTACTGGGACTTGACTTATTAAAGTGCTGAAGTATCCTGTTAAAGCCTTCGTTTGTGCACTGAGCTTCCAAGATACAAAGCTCCAGTGCCTTGTCCATGCACAAAGGTTTACCCGTTATACAAATGCTGTAGTTATATAGGGACAGCACCCCACTGTGTAGACATGGATTACAGTATAAAAGTGGCTTTTTCACTTTATCTTAAATCCCTTCCCAAGAGACAAAAACTAAACCAAAGAAGCCACCGACTACAATAAGCTCCTCCTAGCAGTAAGGGTTTACACCAAGACTTCTCTCATGTAAACAAGACCTAAATAGAGATGACTCAGCCCTCCTCTTGGGGGTTGAACCCTGGCTGCTATTAAGCACACTTTGGTAGCATTAGTTGAGGACATGAAGAGGAAAACCCTATTTGAAACCACACGGACAATTTAATTAGACAAAATAAACCAGATTAGACTGAAACTGATCCTGAACATAATTGTCCTATTTGCAAAAAGCACTTTTAATTACTTTAGTCAACTGGACCTCCACTTTACAATTATAGGCAGGAGAGCCCAGTCACACCTACCTTCATAGTATCATAGTGCTTAGGGTCGGAAGGGAACTAAACCGATCATCAGGTCCAACCTTGCTAGTGTCTCACTACTGTGTCTCAGTACTGAATCAGAGGGAAGAGTATTACCACTCCCTACAGCACCTTTCCTCTCCCACATACTCACTGACTTGGGTGTGTTCAATGCATTAAAACTAAGATTACAGTCAAAGCTGTAGGACTGTACAGCTACAGGACATCCTATCCCATTCTTAGTGCTTTAAGAGAGCCCCAAAAGTCCACTGTGGTTTCCATGAGGCTCAGCACCCACACAAGAGCCTACTGGAGGATCAGAGATAAAGGCACTGGGGAGACTGTTCTTCAAATGATTTTCAGCAAGGCTGTAATTCCCTAACATTTATAATTTTAGTGTGGCTGAAAGATTAGCACGGGTTAGCTTTGGGAAAACAAAATCCTAAGAAGCCCTGCTAAACACTGCACCTCTTAAATTGGGACATTACTCACAAGCACCTTACAACAAGTCAAATGGCTTGTAGCTATCAAAAGAAATGGTTCAAAGGGCATCGGAAGTTATAAGCAGATTCATTTTTTAAAACAAGGGTAGGGTGCGAAGAAAGTTTCTTCCTTGCAGAGTTAACCGCACCCCAGGACACTGCACTGACTGTGTCTCATGCACCAGAGTCAAGCAAGATGGGGGGCAAGCGAACAACAAGGGCCCGGGGCCTGCCTGGATGCGGGTATCCAAAGCCCCGAGCAGTGGGTCTGGGCAGGAAGGGACTTGGCCGCAGTGGAGCCACGCAGGCCTGAGGATTGAGTTCTGCTCAGTCCAGGTCTGAAACTGGGCCCTCGGGCTTTGCCCAAGTGAAGCGAGAACAGATCTGGCCTTGAGAAAGCTGAAAAAAAAATAGCCCTCCCTCCTCCGGTCAAAACCAACTGCCCCGACTCGCCTCCCCGCGTAAGCCTCCCCTTCTTCCTCAGCTTCCTCCAGCCGCGAAGGGAGGAGAGCGCGGGGCTGGCGCTGGCGGCAGCACCGGGTCATGAGGGCAGCGGAGCCCGGGGCTCTGCCCCCGGCCCGTGACAGTGAAGCGGCCCCGCCCAGGATCTCCCGCGCCGGGCGCTGAGTCCGCGCAAGCCCGCGGAGCGGCCGGGGGGCCGGCGCAGCCCCACGACAGCGCTCCGGGAGGATCCCAGGACAAAGAGGCGCGGAGCGGGAAAAGAGAGGATCCGGATGCGGCCCCCGCCCCGCGCCGTGCCTGGCTCACCCCGCAGCAGCCTGGGGCCCGCCTGGGACTCGCAGCAATTCGGGCGGGTGGGTGTGCTCCCTGCGCTGTCCCGGCCGCGGTCACTCCATGCGGCGCGCGGGTCGGAGCCGCCGGCTGCGCTCGCTCCCGGCAGCACAGGAAGTGCCGCCTGCCTCGGCCCCGCCTGCCCCTGCGCGCAGGCTCCAGCGGCACAAAGACGCTTCCAGGAAGCGCTCGTGCCTGCCCGGCTGCCTTGTCCCGGCTCCCCTCCCTTCCCTGCGAAGGCTCCGGATTTGCTGCGGGGTCCTAACACTTAGCTATGAGATACCGCCTGCCCCCAGCGGTTCGAGTCACGTCTAATTTACGAAGGAGTCCATCAGTTCTTTCCCCAGGCATCACACGCACACACACACTAGCATTACACACGCACACAGGCTTCTGACCCTTCTGTTATTCCGCAGCCTGCATCTGTGTCACAACCACCGGAGGACAGTGGGCTGCCAGAGAGGAAGCAGGGCTCACAGCCTTCTCCAGAGCCTCCGGGACAAAGGTTTATAATTAACCCCTGCCAGACCTGCCAAGTCTGTAGATGTTTACACCGAGTGTTAAAACCTCTCCCACGCTGTTACCAGCCTTGAACAGAAAGAATGTGAACTAGGAGCAGGTGAGAGGGTCAGAGACCGGAAAACAAAAGGAAAAGCTCTATTGTTGGAAGCAAACAAAACAATGCACCCTGGAGGTTTCTTGCTGGAGAGAGCAACTCCTACTTTAACCTTGTGGGAGGCAACACCACTCCTGGGGGGAGGGGTCATTTCTCTTGGTTGCCAGGGGCTCTAACATGAAAAGATTCCCCAGCCTTCTGGCTGAGTTTATGGGAGGTGATCTTACCAGTCTGGGATAAATCTGCCCAACTTTGCGGGTTCTCCCTTTCTGGTGTTGCACTGCATGGTCAGTGGAGCTTCTGGCCAGCAAAAGATGCTACCTGCTAGCAACCTCATAGCTCTTCCAGGAGGAGATGAAACTTGGCGAGAGATGCTGCACTTGTATTCTTTCCTTTTTACCAGTTTTTCTCTCTGGACAACCGCCCAGCTTCCTTGTCTCTCTGATGGTTCCCCATGTGCTCTCATCCCTTATTATTTTCCATTAACATCTTCTCTTTCTTGTCTTACTTTTTGACCTTTGTCTTGAAAGGATTGTCTCCTTTCTCAACCTTAGTATGACTAAGGAAAGCAGTTTCTTCACTCTCCAGGCTGGTCAGCAGCCTGAATACTTGACTTTTATACAGCAAGGCAAGATGGGAGCAACCTAGCGCCTTAGGTCTGCCATGACATGAGGCCTCCTTGTTTTAGTGTCAGGGGCTTTCCAATAGCAGCATTGGCCTAGCCTCTCACACATATATACAGGTGGCAGCAGCAGGAGCATTTCCCAGCTATTTTACCAAATGAGAAGCATTTGCTTAGGTGAATAGGCTGGAGTGAATACACTTTTAACAGATTTCATATACATTAAGGACTGGAAAGGACCTCTCAAGATTGAGTCCAACCCCCATGCCTTAGGCAGGAAGTCTGCTGGGGTCAAATAATCCAAGATAAGCATCCAAATGCCTTTTGAATGAATCCAGAGTAGGTGCTTTCACCACCTCTGCAGGGAGTCTGTTTCAGACCCTGGACACACTGACTGTAAAGAAGTTTTTCCTTATACTCGAGTCTGACTAGGCCTTCCAGAAGTTTGTGGCCATTAGTCCTTGTTATCCTTTGGGGAGCCCTAGTGAACAACTGTTCTCCCAGATCCTGGTGTACTCCGCTTATCTACTTATAGGCTGCCACCAAGTCCCCCCTGAGCATTCTTTTCTCCATGCTGAAGAGCCCCCTCCTTCAGTTTTACCAGATTATATTGTGGCTGAATTAATCCAACAGCTAGCTCACACCCTGTAACTGGGATTAGCTATTTTGCATTTGCCCATACTTTTCCATTTTTCTTAGCCCATCTTCCTCATGCCTTCCTATGAGAATGTTGACTCTACTAATCATAGAAAACCATATTATCATAGAAAATTAAAGTTGGAAGGGACCTCAGGAGGCTGTCTAGTCCAGTGCCCTAATCCAGTCCACTAAATTAACCTATGGTCCAGGTAGTCTATTAAAGGAAACAGGGCTATCCAAAACAATGATTGATAAAACATTAGTAGGGCTTACATAGTCTGTTGCCCCAAATCAGCCTGATCGTAACTCTCCATTGAAATTAGATTATTAATTTCCTCCCAGGCCCATTGTATGTATAACATGGACAAGCTGTACCATTCACACCAACAGCTCTGCTTTTAAGAATAAATAAGGACAGGAATATTCACTTTTCATTGGCTCCTGCACGTCTTCTAACCTAGCAAGAATCCATTGTGTTCCATTTCCAGAATGCTTATATGCAAATATTTTACCGCAGAAAAAAGTTAGATTCTGTGTTAACCTCCCTTGCGGCTGGGGAACTAGTGACACCCAGTGGCCCAAAAATGTGAGTAAGGCAAGCACAGTAGATTTCCTTTTGTTGCTTATGCTCCCTTGTTTTACTGGAAATAAATCAGAGAAAAGGCAAGGAACCTTTAGCACACTTGTCTCAGGTATCTGCAAATGGTACCAGTTGTAGGCTGTGTCACAGCAATGGGACTATTTTACTGGCAAAGTGAAACAAAAGTAGAAAATGGAAAACAAAGCAAAAAAACCTCATCCTTTGCTCTTGACAGTGTATCCAGATGAATTAAAAGAACAGTGCAAACTGGAACTCTAATCAATATTTTTTAAAAGAATGAGTTAAAAGGAGTTTCAGCTACTACATCTGCCTTCAGCGATTTCACAACATTATCCTGTTTAAAATGTGTTTTCTTACCCCTGTTTTTGTGTAGAAAAAGAAACACACTTTTGCAAACAAACAAGAGAAAATTGATTAGACCAAAGCTGACTTCAAAGTACTTTTTTCCCCCAAAGAACAGAGTAAACAAACAGAAAAACTAGAATTTGCCTTCTAATCTCATGAAGTTATAAACATTTGCCATGGGTGTTATTTATAAACCAGGTTAGAAAACAATTTCAGACTGCAGTGTGATTTAAAAATCAAGGGTGTGCTTTTAAAGGAGTTACCAAATCATGTGAGTCTATATTATGAAAATATAAAGAAATAAATGGGACAAATGGAAATAAAGATTAGAACGCAGACCAGCAGAGGTCACTGTTGTTGCGTGGCGACCATCAACACAAGCCATTCAAATAGTAATACTGAAGTATTAAATTGAATGTTTTACATTGGTATTTAGGTAAAGAGCATATTAAGAAAGAAGCTAATTCACGCCCTTCACACAAACATGCCCTGTCCAATGAGGCTTCTGCACTAGTAACTCAGTTATCTTTCTAAATTCATTTTATTTTTCTTCCATGCTCCTGAGGTCATTTTCAGTTCCTTGCAACTGGCCTCTTCAAACAGATTCCTATAAACGTTCTTGGATAGCTTTCTTGGATATGTGTATGTGTGTACAGTTTTTCTCTCTTTGGAGTTCAGAGTTTAAAGTTCATGTCTAAAACCACTAGAGTTAAAAAATTACCAATATGGCTAGGGACAGATGTTACACATGAACCAGCTGAAGTGATCAAAAACTGCTTTAACCTGTAATAAAACAGAAGTTCAGTGCACATAAACCAGTTTCAAAATGGCTGAAACTGGTTTAAGATAAACCTGGTTGAATGTAGTATCAGACTTAACTGGAAAAGCGCAGGCTCAGGGGTAATCTGGTGGCCACCGATAAGTTTATCAGGGGTGTTCACCAGGATCTGGGGGAATGTCTGTTTATCAGACCGCCCCAAGGGATGATGAGGTCGAACAGTCACAAATTCCGCCGTGACCAATTCAGACTGGACATAAGGAAGAACTTATTTACTGTCCGAGCCCCCAAAGTTTGGAATAGACTGCCACCGGAGGTGGTTCAAGCACTCACTTGGAACGCCTTCAAGACACATCTGGATGTTTATCTTGCTGGGATCCTATGATACCTGCTGACTTCCTGCCCCTGGGGCAGGGGGCTGGACTCAATGATCCTTCGGGGTCCCTTCTAGCCCGAATGTCTATGAAATCTATGATTTAGGTCAAACCAGTTTATGAAACTGCTGTCCCAGACCGCTTCCTGGTTCAAGCTAAATCATAGTTCCCCAGCATCCCGGGATGCTTTGCAGCCTGGGGATGTGCTGTTCTGTCTGCTCCAGACAGCAAGGTTGGCCCCACTCCGCTGTTCCCTAGCCAGAGTAATGAGGGCTGGCTGACAAGGTTGAGACAGCTGGAGACCGCATCCAGGTCTGTCTGGTGTGGGGGCAGCTCCTGCCAGACTTTTCCCCACTAGAGCAGAGGGGGCAGGACGTGGGCTAGTGCAGACTCAGGTAGAGAGGAGGGAGGGGGGTTTAAACCCCCTCTGCCACCAGCACGGGACCCTAGCTGGGGTCTGCTTGGCAGAAGCATGGCAATCCCTGCCAGGCTATTGCCTGCTCGCTGCTGGAGCAGAAGGAGCAGGAGCATGTGGAGGTGGGGGGGGGGGAAGCCTGGGAGGGACTGACCCCCAGGCAAACCTTGGCTGGGGTCTGGGGCCAGGGAGGAGGTTTAAATCCCCTTCCCTTGCTCAGTGCACTGGCCTTGCTCCAGGGCGTGGCCATACCCCCTGCTCTCTGCTCAAGCAGGGAGCAGGGGACTTGTGGGATGGGGAGGGGCAACAGTCTGAGAGGGACTGCCTCCCCAAACAAACTTCCTCCCTGGCCTCCGATCCCAGCCAGGATTTGCCTGGGGGACAGTCCCTCCCAGGCTTTCTCCCCCATCCTGCCCCATGCCCCTTCCACTCTAGCAGCAAGTGAGGAATAACCTGTCAGGGGCTGCCCTCCTCCCCTTCTTGAGCAGGGAATGAAGGGGCTGGGCACTGTTCCCCTGCCCAGAAAAACTCAGGCTGGGGTCTCATGCAGGCAATGGTGGGGGGGTTTAAGTGCCCCATCCCCTGGCATCAGTGTGCTAGCCCCAGGCTGGAGCCTGGCCATGCCTCTTCCACATGAGCAGGGAGGAGGGAAAGGCCTTGAAGCCTCAGTCCCTTACCTTTGACAGTGGATAGCAGGCTGGGAGGCATGCCCTAGTGCCCCCCAGCTTCTGGCTTGAGCCACTGCAGGCATGTGGCTGCATTTCCTGAATCAACAGTGAATGTCTGTTCACTTGCTTC